TTTGGAAACCTCAACACCCCCTTGTTCTCCTTTCTCAAAAGATCTCCATTCTAAAGATCTATACTTGTTTCATTAAACCTACACAGACTTCTCCTTTCTGTTTTTGGAAGGTCAGCCTGAAGCTGAGTCCTATAAGGCTATCTGGCAGGAGAGGACTTCTTTCACAATTCCTAATTTATACAAATATGGTGTAGGAACTTGAAAAATAGCACCTCTGCATTAAGGCAAAAAGTATGTAGCAGCAGAACCTTATGTATTCTACTGTTTTCTGTGTGCTTCCCATTTCACCCACTGTATGTTCTGTCTGAGATCTGAAAGGGCCCCTTAAGTGAAAGATATATTCTAAAACCATGGCCAGTCTGGATCAAAATGAATTTCAGCAAACATCATTTGTGAAATGTCAAGTTCAAATTCTAATTCAGTGTCTTTCTTACATTAAAATGCATCAATATGCATTTGAGACAGTAACAAGCAGCATCTGTTTCAATAAACTTAAACCTGAGAGTCTTCTCCTTAGGACTAGAAGAAAGCACTTAGAATCTAACAGATGGCAATCTCAGATTAATTTAGATTAGTCTATTTCAATCTGACATTCTGTACAAACCCACCCCCCCAACCATGCTGGCTAAAGGTGTTAAGAAATATTCATCCAAATATCTAGATGGCACTAAATTTAAGAAATCTGATTTAAAATTATGCTCTTTGTCAGAATTTATTTTCTTTCAGCAAAATGTAACTCTATCACTGTTTCAATCTGCTTCGTTAGTTTCTTCTTTCTTCTAATACTGTTTATAATTACTGTAGTATTATGCATTTTATGGTGTTAATTCTGTGGATTATTCTTTTTTTAATGCTGATCATTTAATGCATTAGTCATTTTGACTACTTCTGTCCATTTTTAATGGAAGAGAGACAGTTAAAAACTAAACACTGTACTAACAATACAAATCAGTTAAAAATTATCTGCCATAGAGCAGAAACCTAGAGAATATAATTTTCCAAGAACAAGAAAATAAAAATATTGGGTCCAAATTAGACATACTTTTGCTATATATTCTGCTTTAGGTAGCCAACTTTTCCAGCAGGTTAAATAAGTCTGCATATTAGTCATCCCTGACAAAGCAGACATATCCATAATTTTTACCGTCATAGATATAATATAGTAAGCATGTGATTAACCAAAGAGACTGACATTCTATGAAGCACATTTCACACAATTAGTACTAGAGAGTACTCTTGATTTCCTGTGGAAGTATTTTTTCCCATCAAATTATTGAAGGATCAAACAACTATAAATACAGGCCTGTTGTAAAATATTTGGTTTCCTCATATACTTTTGATTCAGCATGCCCATTTTGAGAGGGTAAACAGCAAGTTAAGTGACTTTCCTTCCCGTTCCCGTCAGGTGACAGTTTCCAATTTCTCAAGATGGTTTTCAGATGTTTGGGTTTTGTTTGTTTTTTCCCTAAATTCAGAGACTGCTTGTGCACTCCTTGGATAACTGAAAACAAGTCCTTTGCTCCAGCAACCTTAATCTCCCAGCACATGTTTATTCTTAAACAAAGAATGAATGTGGATATTTGTTTGGGCAATAGAGATAATATCTTGTTTGTTAAAAAATATGCAATTCAGTAAAATAAAGTCTGCATATTTTTCATTCAGAATGTATAATGTGTGTGAGAGAGAAAGAGAGAAAAAGAACAGAGAGAGTGTGCGAGAGAGAAAGAGAGGTGGCAATGAGGTTGCTATGGCAATTACTTGTCACTAATGATAGGAGGGTAATTACTGCAGTAGATTCCCACATAGCTATTCAGCACACAACTTCGACTTCTCTCTGCTGTTCATGTCTGAAGTTTACCCGATTTGGCTCCTTTTTACTTTGCTACATATTTAGAAACATTATTTGAGCTTATCATATATTTAAATCTAATAAACATAATTACTCAGGTGTCAAGTTGAGCTCTCTGCAAACTGTAGCCAAACCAGGGCAGATCCAGTGGGTTCCAAAGTTGAATGGAGCTAGAAGATCCTATCCAGAAGCAGGGCATCTTGGCAAATCTGCAAAAGTTGGGATCCAAGCAGTAATGATCCAAGTCTTGAGGGAACTATCAGGCAAAAGTCAAGAGCAACAAATAAGGCCTGGAAGGACAGGGACAAGTATATTTTGCTGGGCTTTGCTCATGCTTGTTACTTGTCTGACATACACACACACCATCATAGACTCTGTTGTTAAAGGAAAACAGAAGATGGGGAAAGCCATAAAGGCAGACTGGTCAAAGTTAGCAAGAATCCTTGGGGCAAAAACAAAAAATTATTCAATTTGAAGAGCAAGACCTGAGGACGTGCATAAACAATTGTCCTTGGTCTGGTTTGCAGGCTAGGCGACAAGGAAAGAAATCAGCTAGGTTTAAGGTAGGAACAGAAAGCTGATAATTGAGAAAGAATGTCCCAAGAAAACTATGGTGAAGAGTCTAGTTCTACTCAGTAATGCACTGTTTCTCAACCTTGGCAACTTTGAGTGGATGCCAGCTCCCAGAATTCCCCAGCCAACAATGCAGAAGATGAAGGAGAAATGCTGCAGTAATGCTTCATTACTAGAAATGCATTGCTTGAAGACAGAGATCACTATGTTATTTTTTGCTTCCTATCTCCCTATTCCCAATTTGATGTTTAGAACCAAAGAAGTGCACATGAGGAGTCCTTGGTGCTCTTTGAGCTTGGTTGTCTTCTTGCAGACATTTCATTATCCAAACTAGCTAAGTATATATAAAGGCTATTGGAGGAAAGCAGAAGTCTATAAGATCCCTTTATATCCATCCCTCTTTTCTTCACTACCCAGAAGCTACTGTATGTGATACCAGTTACAGTATTATGCCTAGCATGGATAACCAAAAACCAATCCATGTCAATAAATATACCTTGTTGGTTGGGTCCTAGAATGATTCATTCATTTGCAGGAACCACATTGTTATAGTTGAAAGACAAATGAGAGTTATTTCAGTTCTATCTCTCATAATTTCTTGCTGGTGTATGGAATGAAGAAGGCCACAACAATCTTCTCCCCTAAATCCTTTGTCCTGCCAGCAGCCAGATTGCCTTGGAGGTTGTAGGATGGGAAATGCCAATTATTAGCAGAATAAAGCCCACGATAGACAAGAACTGCAGACAATAGTAGATAAAATAACACCTCTGGGTTCAGGGCCATTCTTTCTCATTCTCGTTCTTATTCTGACCCATCTATTTATATAGACAACTGTTGAGAAATAATGATAATATTATTCTAAAGAATAATAATATTCTATAAATTAAAATTTGAAATTTGTACAAATTCAAAGTAATTAAAGCATGCTTATAATATATTAGGGAAATTGGAATCACACATTAATCTAAAAAAGATTAATGTATCAGGAGAGATAAAGTTGCACATAAAATACAAATAAATGGGTGAAAACAATACTTGTCTTTTGGGGAGAGTGTGACTGGGAAATGAAATGTCTAGTATATAATTGGAAGAGTAAAGGAGGAAACAAATGCCAACCCAAAGAATGGTGTGTCTATAGTTTTTTGCAAAGAGGGAATTGAAGGGGGGAAAACAGAATAGTTTTTCTGAAAGAAGAGTCCTTGGTATCCAAAGGAAGTCCTATACATACTTCCTTGCATCATGATGTCTGCCTCAAGTATATAAGTGACATCATTGTGATGGTGTTGCACATGTCATAGTTTGTCCATTCTTACTTCCCTATCTCCCCCCCACCCCCAGAGACCAATGTAATATGATTATTGGAAAAGAGAATAATGGGAATACCAAAGCCAATTGCCCTTGAGAGAATTTGGAAAGAGGAGATTATACAAAAGATTAGATATGGCACTGGTGTCAAACTCCCGGTGTCATGTTGCCATCATGTGATGTTTTGTGATGTTTTCCCCATTCACGGAACTGGCGTGGACATGGCCTGCACATGACGCATCCAGCCTGTGGGCCACCAGTTTGACACCTTTGAGATATGGCCTAAAAGAAGCACTGGGGGTAATTTATTTGGGGAATAAATTCCCAAGAGAATCGTACAAAGAAAAGGCCAATGTGACAGAAAAAATAGTTGATGCAACATGAAGAGCATATTTTGGTGTAGGGTAGAGGAAATATGAGAGAAAATATAATTGCCTTCTAAGATATTTTTCTTTTCTGTTTTTAAACAGTAAGATTAAAATCAGTATAGGATATTGCTTAGTATTATAGTACTTAATATACTTCTGTATCTTTGGAAGGAGTTACGGTTTTGTAAGTTTAATAAAGACGGATGGAAGAAGGGGAAGACAATAGCAAAAATCATAAAGCCTTCTTCAAATCATGGTTTGAAGTTGGTTCCTGGTGACTTCATAGACATGGCTATGCAGTAAAACTTACTAAATGTGCTTCCAAAACATCACATGCATATTCTTATTTGATATGATCTCGCCTGGATTCTGTAATGGAAGAGATTCCTCATTGCCAAATTGGAACAGGCTCTCCCTTTCAAATTTCTTGAGAATAGTTTCAAAGCAGAATTGTCTGTATTTCTTCACTTTCATAGGACTTTAAAAATACAGCTATTGTGCTATATAACATGAATAATTGACTCTTTAAATGAATCAGGTAGGTTCACAGGATTATTTTTGCTTGTCCTGTTTATGCATCAAGTGAGATATTCATAAGTGTGGGCGATACCAACTCAATGTGCAAAACTTTTGCACTACTTGTGCCTCTTATATTCCTCTGAGAACAGTGGGAGTTACATCTAAAAACCTGGCCCTTGGAACTTTGAATCTAGGTCTCACAAGGATACTTTGGCAGCAGAATAAAAAATGGTAGGGCAAGGAACAAAAGGAAATGTGCAAACTTTGCAAAATACACCACAAACACCAGCTTGCACAACCCATAAACAACCATCCTATTCCCAGGCTGTCACATAATAGGAGATGCTGGAAATCGTGAAACAGCGTGTTTAAGTATAAATAGTCACCACTGGTTTGAAGAAGTAAAACTGTTCTCTTAGTTCAGTCAACACATTGCTTGCTGGGGAAACTGAGAAGCCAATGGCCCAGACTCACCAGTGATTTCTCCCTGTAAAATGAAAGCAGGCAATAATTTGGTGTGTAATATTGTCTATTACGTGGCACATAAAGGCCTGCATTGATTGTTCATACTGTAGCTATATAGAAAACATTGCAGAATGAGCCTGCTTTTAGCCTGATGCCTCATACAGTGGTAATTAAGGAGAACAGCCTTTTGATTTGCTACTATTTGCAGTTCTGCAGGAAAAACAGAGTTTAGGCCATCTTGTGCTCTGTGTTGCAGCAATGCTTAATCTTCTGATTTGCCCAGAACAATTATGTGCAACACCTGTGGAGGATTTAATTGCTTGCTTTCTTATTTCAAGGCAATGAGTCTTACTGTACACACTTTATTCCAAGTTATTTACTTCCTTAGGGTACAGCAAGAATTGGGGAGTATCAAAGCACATGTTCCATGACGATTTAGCCCAAACTGTCAGTGCAGGGAGGGACTAGATTTGAACCTCAGAGCCAATGCCCAGAACTACACAGCCCAGGGATGACCCAATAACCACTCTGAAAGTGACAGGTGATGGTCCCAAATTTATCTGTATTTAGGAGTACACTGAGTTGTAACATTTGAAACAGAGAAAGATTTATTCCCAAGCAAATCCAGAGGAGCAGAAGTAAAGTCTTTTTTAGTCTTTAGTGGTAAATGTGCCATGAATTATTAACACGAAAGGTCCTTCAAGCTTGACTCTTGGTGCCTTATGGGTGCATCTGTGTAATGTTTCCAGGGATAGTATAGAAGTGGTTCGCCATTGCTTTCCTCTGGAATGTTTTATTCATCTTCCTGGACTACCTTGTAGCCCAGAGTGCATTTGTGATATCCTATTCAAGTATTAAATAGGTACAATCCTGTTTAGCTTCTAAGCCCAGACAAGGTCATCTGTAAGTTACCACTTGCTAAATAAATTGAAAACTGTGTACAATGAGGCAGAAAAGTGCATTTGTTTATTCAGTGTAGAAGAGAATGTGAAAAGCTATGCTAAAACATGGTATAACCGTAAGAAGTGTCAAGAAGAAAAAAATGGTAAAGTAATATAAGTGAGTTATTGAAAGTGAGTTGTTATTATTAATACACCATTAAATGTGAGTGCTAAATTTGCCCATTTGCTCCATTTGGCTACTAGAAGTTATTTAGCCAAATCTGGAAAATAATCCCTGGGGATGTTTTAGGTGTACCTTTTCAGCACTGGGCAGCAGTTGAGCCCTATAATCTAAGAAGGGATTATAAATGAGTAAACGAGCCCACAATAGGGAATACACATTGAGAGGAATGTGCTAGAGCCAGTTGTTTGCAGGTTAGGAGGCAAAAGTTTAGCATGCAACTGATTAAGATCTTGTCAGTTTCAGGCACCACCCAGGATTATAGGTTATGCTGTCTCTTATCTGACTGTTCCCTTGGCAGTCTGCCTCTATGCCCAGTCTCCCAAGATCTTTCGCATATACATTACAGCTTCCAATAGGAGAGAATGCATGAGGCCTTTCAGGAAGATTTTGTGTTCTGTGGTGGACACTGGGCCCTCAATCGATAGAGAACCCTCAATGACCCAACCAAAAAAAGGTCAAGTCACATAAGAAAAATGGTGGTGGATGAAGAGCAGTGGACTCCCATGCTTCTATGGATGCCCAAAAATACACATACTCAACATATTTTTCATTCAATTGTATCCTTATCAGGGACCCCAACATACAGCATGTTAAAGAACTTACAAAAAAGCTTGGATATCTCATGAGAAGAGTGGATATTCTATTATTTATTTATTATTTATTTATTATTCATATTTCTATGCCACCCACTCTCCGAGGACTCTGGGCGGCTTACACCAAAGACAGTATACTAAATAGCATATTGCCCCCAACAATCTGGGTCCTCATTTTACCCACCTCAGAAGGATGGAAGACTGAGTCAACCTTGAGCTGGTGAGATTTGATCCGCTGATCTGCTCCTCACTGCAGTACCCCCAGAAAATTAAAGACCTAAATAACAAAAGATGATTAAATTATGACTTCATTCAATGTCACAGCACTTTGTGTCCATAAATCCAGAACTAGCAAAAAAAAAAACCATGGCACCAATACTGCACAACACAATAAATACACTAAGATCAAAATACCCAGAATCATAGATTTCAGCATCCCTCTTGTCTCACTACCTATTTTTAGTTTGATGGTTAAATATACCTATATACCACATAAACTTAGAATGTGTTATGTGTTAATGTATATAGGTACTTCTGAAATAGCCTGCATGTTTTTGCTCTTGATTACCATATTTGTCTTTTAAACACCTATAAATGACTCTTCCTGTAATTTTAGACAGATGCCTTTAAAATTCTTTGCCTGCTGTTTTTATTAATAATATAATTAAATAGTTTGATGTCATCAGCATAGGCCCCCATACTGCTTACCTGTGAGTATAGATCAATTATGAGCAATTTAAAAAGCATTGTCCCTATTTATCAAGCCTTTAAAAAATTAATTTCCCTCTATTAATCCTCCACTTTGCATCCTGTTAAGTGAACTTGTATTAATTGTAAAAATATTGGCTTTCAAAAGCCTAAATAAATATTTTCTACTAAGAAGCCTTAAAGGTAAAGGTAAAGGTTCCCTTTGCACATATGTGCTAGTCGTTCCCGACTCTAGTTTCTCATCTCCGTTTCAAAACCGAAGAGCCAGCGCTGTCCGAAGATGTCTCCATGGTCATGTGGCCAACATGACTAAACGCCAAAGGCCCACAGAATGCTGTTGTCTTCCCACCAAAGGTGGTCCCTATTTTTCTACTTGCATTTTTACGTGCTTTCGAACTGCTAGGTTGGCAGAAGCTGGGAAAAGTAACGGGAGCTCACCCCGTTATGCGGATTCAAACTACTGAACTGCCGGCCTTTCAATCAACAAGCTGAGTGTCTTAGCCACTGAGCCACCACATCCCACATGCTTTATCACATCCCATTTACTATGTGGTCCCTGATATATTGATATCACTCATGTGACCGATTCAGGTAGAAGAAAAATAGCAGCAATAAAAACAGAGTAATAAATAGAATCAATGAACTGAACATTTGCATTATTGCCAAAAAATTGTTTACATTACCAAAATAACTATTTTCAACTAAAAACTGAAGCTGGAGAATGAAACCATACAACAGTTGGAATTACGTCTGGGTTTCTGCAAATTAATTTTTAAACAATATAGATTCATTTTTGTTTCAAACAATGATCAACAGATTACATACAAATGTAATTAAAAAGGGAAAAGGTCGGTTTTGCAGCAGCTGTTGCCTCATTCTCATTATGGCAACACAGGTGATAGATAGTTTCATATCTGGGAGAAGGAAGTTCACATAACAACTCCAGGGCTCATCAAAACATCCATTAGCCAAACATTTTAAGATGCTAGATAAATGAGACTGAACTGTATAGAGTTATGGAAACAAATCCTTCTCCCTTGCAATATGCCTTGTGATGTCAACAGCTCCCATGATTTACAGTAATTCACAATAACAGCAGCATGATAACATTAAAAATGCTTCTCTGCTGTTGGTGAGAACACACGGTTTGGCAGCAATGCCTGAAAAATAACGGAGACAATGAGCTGAAAATTGCAATGAAAACAGCTAGGAGCTGAGCTATCATTTTACCTTCACAAGAGTTAGGCATGTTGACTAAAACAAAGTGAGACAATTAATCTCATAGCTAAGGTCTGAAGCAGCTTCTAAATGCAAAACAATATGATAAAGAGTATGGCCTATTGGACAAAATATGGGACTTAATCAAAGCAATCAATATGTTGTTAAATACCAAGAATTGTAGAACGGAGAATGAGAGTATAATCAGAATGAAGATAAATAAATAAATAAAATTAAAATAATGAAGATAAAACAAAGATAAATTGTAAAGATGAGGGTGAAGGTTCATTCTCTGAGCTTGTTGGTTTCTGAATGTTTCGTTACCAGGCTGGGTAACATCTTCAGCAGAGTCATGTCAGTGTCAGTGTTCTTCTGTTTATAAGGGCTTCAGGTGTGGGTGTGTCAAGTGAGGGTCTTGGGATGGGTCAGGTGTGAGTCATCAGTGGGTCTTATGATGGGCCTTGTGATAAGGAGATTACATCAGGTCAGATCATTGGGAGATGAACTGCTGGTGGTGGGGTTGCGTGGATTAGTTGAGGGTCGGTGATGTCTCTGGTTGGCTTTGCAGTTGATTTGGATTCTGAGGGGTTTGTAGGCTGATTGTAGATCAATGTGCCTGTTGGTGGAATTGCTGCACAACTGATAATGGCAAAATGAAGATAAATGGATAAATAAAAATGAAGTGAAGATCAACCCAACTTTACATACTCCTTTTTCCTCCTCCTAATATATATCAGAGCAGTCAGCACCCACTCAAGAACTATTCCTGGGGAGCTGTAGATTTTTGAAATAACATAAATCAGAGCAGGAAAGGTTATAGCAATATGGAATAATTTAGGGCCATGTTTTGTTGGAAAAGCTTTTTCAATTGACATCCTCACTGTTTGGATTATACACACCCATGGAAACAATTTCTTAGACAGGTGACAGGCTTTTCTCAACTGGGTAAGCAGAGGTTAGTCAGCCATCTTGGGGTACTTTAAATTGGGTTCCATAGAGCAAAGTTGAACCAAATCACTTTCATTTTGATGATCTTGGTAAATTTAAAAGGCAATAGACTTGAAAAATCTATTACTATAATTCTGAAGAAAGAAAATGCATGACAGTGAGGGGGGGAAATCTTATACCTGACCTCCCACCACCAATCTGTTAGTTTTCGTAATCCTGAAGGAAACCTCTATCTACTTGGGTTATTCAAACATAATAAAACCCTTCACTCATGAGCATAATCAAATGCTAGGCAATCAGCCAAAGAGGGTCAGCCTAACATCAGAATGCTGCCTTTTCCAGACTTCCAAAAAGTCAGGATGAACCCCACCAGAGATCTCCAAATTCCAAATTGCAATTTCAAATTTGGCACAAGCCAAAATCCATGATGGCGGAATAATTCTATTAACTATATTTGTTTTAATTCACTGCAAACGAAATCAGATCCAATTGCATTTTGTCTTGGCCCCTGCATTATTCTCTTAAATGCAGACCAGCTTGTGTCCCACACTACAAATGTATACCTCCTGCAATGCACCCCCAATTTTCTTTCACATCCTTGACACATGTGGGGCAAGGGAAAGGAACTGTTTTAATCTGCTAGCTGGTTAATTGACATCATATTCTGAAGAACGGCTTCCCTATCAGAGATTCAGGAGCAATCTATTTTAAGGATAAGGATCAGAAGAGGAAACAATCAAATGCCACTTACTGTACATCTATTGATATGAACAGTATACCATTTTCATTGTATATCAATTGCTCTGGAAAACAAATAGGAAGCTGCTTTTGATCATCAAGTTAACAGCCTGTCTTGCAGCAAAGGCCTTTGATCTAATCCAGCACATTTCATTCTTTTGAATGCAACATCTGGTTTGTGTAATGCTCTTCAAAATCTTTTTATATTTAGTCAGAATTAGACCCTTACACTAAATGGACAGTTTCAGTCCCACCTTTTGAAGGAAGAAAGTGGACATTGATAAGAAAAGGATATGCTATTCAGGGAGAAATGCCCCTCTCCCCAACTCTAATCATCTTTATCTGTCTTGACACATTTCTTTATGAAATGATCCTGATGTAATCCAAACAGTAAAAACAAAACAAAAAAAAAAAGCTTTCTGCTCTCTCTTGTTTATCATTTCATAGGAATTGGAACAATATTCAGATTGTTCCACTACACTACAAACACTACAAACAGCATCCTTTCAAATAGTATTTGCAGTGCATTTCTCTTTGCATATTTTCATATTAAATCTTTATCCTTATACAGCACTGAATTCCCATGATAAGTGTTTCTTTATTCTGCTTTATTTCTGCATACTAGTAGCTGCTGAGTTGCAGTAATTTTTTTTCCCAGTATGTCCTTGTGGGGAGAGAAAAATGTCTAAACTGTAACCCAAAATTAATTAATACCAGCACAAGAGGACTGCAAAATAAAAAAAGAAAAAAGAGAGAGGGAGATGAAAATATATGTAACAAGCAGAAGCAGTTTGCCTCTATATAGAAGGATTGTTTAATGTGCTAGAATATATTTCTTCTTTCAGATTTAAAGCCAGCAGATTACAGTTAACATGTGAAGTGAAGTGAGGGAAGCAAGATCATAAAAACAGATGGTTGTCTTTATACACCCACACCCACACACACACACACACACACACACACAAAACCTTTACATTTATTTGTTTATTTGTTCATTCATTTTATATGAAAAAATAAATCACCCACAATAAAGTAAAGGAAATTAATAATTAGAGAACAGTAATCCTAATAAATTCACTCTAAACATCTGGCTAACAGTGCAGCAATCAATAATAAGAACATATAGCTTTAATCAATTTGGAAATAAAAATAGGGTAAGATGGCAACAAGCCTGTAAGTATACTTTATTCGTTATTGGGAATCTTGAAACAACTGCCGGCAGATTATTAATAATTCTGAGCTTTGGATCAGCATATAGCAATAAAATGACCCTACTCTATGGCTACAATCATACATCACTAAGCATTTGTTATGACTATACATCACGGGTGACAAACTCGTGGCGTCACATTGCCATCATGTGATGTTTTGCAATGTTTTTCCCATTTGCATGACGCATCCGGCCCATGGGCCACCAGTTTGATACCCCTGCATATATGATCAAGGAGGTCTCAATATTGTTTTCTACATTAGTTTTGTTCAAAATGGCCAAATCACTTTTTTAGAAACCTTCTATATGTGGACCACAGTGTCATCACCAAAAGCTGTTAGGGAATACTACAGAAGCCATGGGTTATCAAATTGGGTATTGTAGGCACCAACACATATGTGTATTTCCATTCTAATAACATTCATAGGACTTCCAAATCAGATGATAGAGAGACG